GGAAGGAAAGAAGGAAAGAAGAAAGGGAGGGAGGGAGGGAGGGAAATTATCCTCACCTTTCCCTTGAAGAGGAAAAAAGAAGAAGAAGGAAGAGGAGGAGGAGGAGGAGGAGGAGGAAAGAGAGAGACAGAAAGAAAGAAAGGAAAGAAAGAAAGAAAGAAGAAAAAGGAGAGAAAGAAAGGAAGAAAGAGAGAGAGGGGGGGGAGGGAAGGAAGGGAAGGAAAGGAAGAAAAGAAGAGGGAGGGAGGGAGACATATTATCCTTACTGCCTTTCCCTTGAAGATGAGCTCTGCTTTTAAAATCTGCTTGGTTGTCTTTATCCACTACAAGGTGCCCAAATATGCATATTTTTGCTTTTTATTGTTTTCTTTGTTTTTTTGGTGGCAGGGTCTGGCTCTGTGGCTTAGGCTGAGGCGTAGTGCAGTGTTGTGATCATAGCTCACTGCAGCCTCGAACTGTCAGGCTCCATTGATCTCTCACCTCAGCCTGCAGATTCGCTGGGACTACAATTAGGCATCACCACCCCGGCTAATTTTTTTCATTTTTTGGTAGAGACTGGGTTTCGACATGTTGTTGGGCTGGTCTCAAACTCCTGGGCTCAAGTGATCTGCTGGTCTTGGCCTCCCAAACTGCTAGGATTATAGGCATGAGTCACCACACCTGCCCCCTAAATGTGTATTTTAAAACATTTATCTTATTAATATTTTGGAGGGATTTCTGATTATGAAGTTTGGTGTCTTTTATTAGGTTTGAAAAAATTTCAGCAATATTTCTTCAACATGGCGTCCACTACATTTTATTTATCCTCTCCTTTGAAATTCATGATATATATTTAGATCTTCTTTTTCTATTTTCAATGTCTCTTAGTCTCTTTTATACCATTATAACTCTTCCCTGCATAATTCAGTTCCTTAACAGAATATGCTAAGTTACTGATTCTATCTAATTTACAATTATACATTTGTTGAATTTTTCATCTGAATCTGAATCTCTTTTTCTTAAGATTTTCTGTTTATTTTTACAGCATCTTTATCCCTCTTCATATTTTCATTCCTTTCTTTGTTTTTCTAAACATATCAAACCTACTTAATTTGCATTCTGTATCTCTTTTATGGTTTTGATCTTTCTCTGTGTTGTTCTGATTCTCCCTCACAGAGCTTTGCTTTATTGCATATTCACTCATTTCTGACTGTAAACTCTTACTTTTGAAAGTTTATCTGTAGAATATTTTGAGTCCTGGAATAAACATAAGAACTTCCAGAAGATATTGGTGTTTCCTTCTGTAAAGAGACATTCCAACTCTGGAACCAGAAACTTTGAACAAAATTATTAGCATGCAGTGAACAAAATGATCAACTTGTAATAAATTTCAAACACAAAAAATATATGGGATCCCACTTGTGTTTCATTAATTTTTCTTTTTTCTCTTTTGCATTTTTGAGGTGGTGGGATTTTTTGGAAAGCTATTTTATACTTCCCTAAGAATATATCCTTTGGGACTTCAGCTAGTTTTAGAATATATCATTGGGTGAATATACCATGGTGTGAATCCTGGGATTTGTCTACTATCCACCTGCAGCCCTACCACCAGGCTTGAAAACAGAACATAAGTCTTCACAATGAAAGCTGATTTCTGTTCATTTATTTCTCTGGGTTCCTAATTTTATAATATTTTAAAAGATGCTTATCCAAAATGTCTATTTTTATCTTTTTTTTTTTTTAGTGAAAGATCCACAGGATGGAAATGGATACAGTTCTATGGTTTCTGCATTGTCACAGCAGATAGCATTTCATACAGTTCTACCTTGCTTACCTTAGTTTTAGTCTTAGGTTTATAGTTTAGTAAGCCAATATTATATTAAATACAGTAGCTCCCTCTCATCCACAGTGTTCCTTTCTGTAGTTTTTGTTGTCTGTGGTCAACCTCAGTCCAAAAAGTGTTACATGGAAAATTCCAGCAATGAACAATTCCTAAGTTTTAAATTATGCCTCATTCTAAGTGGCATGATGAAATCTCAAGCTGTCCTCTTCTCCATCCTTCCAGGGACATGAATCATTCCTTTGTCCAGTGTATCCATCTTGTACATGCCACCTGCATGTTAGTCACTTAGTAGTCACCTTGGTTATCAGTGAGACAGCATCACAAGTGCTTGTGTTCAAGTAATCCTTATTCTATTTAATAGTGGCCCCAAAGTATAAGAGTAGTAATGCTGGCATATTGTTATAATTGTTTTATTTTATTATTAGTTGTCATAAATCTATTAATGTGCCTAATTTATAAATTAAGCTTTATCATAGGCGTGCATGTATAGAAAAAAATGGTATATATAGGGTTTGGTAATAGCTATGGTTTCTGGCATCCACAGGTGTCTTGGAACAGATCACATATGGATAAACACCACATGTTCTCACTCATAAGTGGGTGTTGAACAATGAGAACACATGGACACAGGGAGGGGAACATCACACACTGGGGCCTGTTGGAGGGTGGGGGCTAGGGAAGGGCAGGGAGTGGGGAGATTGGGGAGGGATAACATTAAGAGAAATACCTAATATAGTGATGGGGGATGGATGCAGCAAACCACCATGGCATGTGTATACCTCTGTAAGAATCCTGCATGACCTACACATGTACCCCAGAACTTAAAGTATAATAATAAAAAATATTATCAAAAAAAGAGGACTACTGTATAAATATATATACATACACACCCAACCTTTTGTCCTGGTCACCTGGCTGACAGAAATGTGTTCTCTGATAATTTCTTTAAACAAGGTCTTAAAAACAACATTCTCACCTGTAATCCCAGGACTTTGGGAGGCTGAGGTGGGCGGATCACAAGGTTAACAGATGTCAACCATCCTGACCAACATGGTGAAATCCTGTCTCTACTAAAAATACAAAAAAATTAGCTGGGCATGGTGGCACGCACCTGTAGTCCCAGCTACTCGGGAGGCTGAGGCAGGAGAATTGCTTGAACCCAGGAGGCAGAGGTTACAGTGAGCCAAGGTCGCACCACTGCACTCCAGCCTTCCTCCTGGTAACAGAGTGAGACTCTGTCTTAAAAAAAAAAAAAAAAAAAAGCTCAGATTTTTGTTGCATATTTAAAATTTCGTGGCCTTTTTATTTAAATGCCAGTTTTGCAGCATATAAAATCTGAGGGTTACACGTACTTATGTAAGGAATTTGTAGCTTATCTTCACCTGGACATCTATTTAATGGTAATTATATTTTGGAACAATGCATGATAAGCCAACTGGCCTGCTTCCAATGGAGGTGGAGGGGGAAGAATTTATAAACCTTGTTAAAGAAAATCCCTGAGAAAAAACATTGCCAATGATACTTGGTTTTTTCTTTATATATTCATATGTTTTTAACTTTTAATGAATATATATTATTTTAGTAATTAAAAAACAAAAGAACTTTAATTTTCTTTGAGCCATAAAGCTATTTTTTAACCAGATATAATAATAAAATTTATCTTGTTAATACTGAAATTAGCAAAAAGCCAGGAGATACATCCATCTTCTGAGACTTGGATTCTAAAGTCTCACACAAATCAGTGATAATGAAAGTATAATCCCAATATAGTGCTAAAGATAATTTACTCAATCAAGATATTGCTGATTTTAAACTACTGCTAAGCAGCAGTTTTGAAAGGAAGGTGGAGTAGGAGAGACGGAAAAAAAAAAGAGATTAAAAGACATTTAAAATAACCGAAATAAAATGTAGGCATTATATAGGGAAAAGGAATCCTGAAACAGATTTTGTATTTGACTGCTGAGAATACTGAACTATTTGGAAACAATATTCAATGAGATAAGATTGCATATGAGGTTAACACCTATTTCTTCTACACTAACCTGCCTTATCCCTGTTTATTATTTCAGTCAGAGGTTCTCAACCTGACAGAGTTCTTTATTCTCAGCACTATCGACATTTGGGGCCAGATAATTCATGTGGGTGTCAGGGGCTGGGGGCTGTCCTGTGCATTGTAAGATGTCTAAATAGTACAAGATGCCAATATACATACTCAGTTGTGACCACCAAAAATGTCTCTGGGAACTTCCAAATGTTCTCCAACCAGTGAAATTGCTCTCAGTCTTTATTCCAATCATGTCCTCCATGAATCAGGCTCAGTTATCACTTAATAGAAGTTCACCTCTTCTTCATTGATATTAGTTTATAATTTCAGATAATATTCCTAAGTTCCCCTTTTCTTCATTGATATTAGTTTATCATTTCAGATAATATTCCTAAGTAAGCAACTAGCTATCACACTACTATTTTTATGCCTTTTTCTCCTGTGTATTACTAGCTTCCATATTTTCAGTAAATATCCTTCTATAGCACAGTGTGCTGGTGTTTGAAGAGCATATCAAATCAGTGATCTCTTTCTCAACAATATCAGCCTAGTTTGATGAAAGATAAGTGACAAAATGAATAGAAGTCTGGCTAGATCACATATAGAGAAATGACAATAAGATGACATAGATTTAAAAATATCACTCATCATTTTATCATATATATGATACATCATTTTATCATATATATGTATATATATCTTTTATCATTTTATCATATATACATATATATGATAAAATGTATCATATATACGTACATATATGATAAAATGTATCATATATATACATATATATATCTTTTCTCATGCTATGTCATAAAACATTAGAGAAGTCTACTGTTTTATTCACTTCCAGGTGATGAGAAGTCAACTCAAAAATCAGGACTCATAACATCAAACCATGCCTTTGGGTTCCCAGAGGAAAAGTAACATAATATTGAAGATAGAAGAAGGTTATCATAAGGAAAAATTCCCAATGCAAAAAATAGGCTTTGTGTACCACCATTCCATTCTATGCATCCAAGGTACACTGGGTCTGGCACAATTACCTCCTTGATTAATAAATAAAATCTCTGTAAATGAATAGTAACTCTAGGAATAGTTATACCATTTATTTTTATATATTCATTCCTAATGTTGACAAGAATCAAATTAATTTAAAATTTAGCCCATATTACATTATCAAATTTAAAAAAGAAGACTAAAGCTTAATACACCCAATGTATTCTTGCCCTTCCATGAAAAGAATACCTAGTTTTGAAATTAAAAACTTAAATTTAAGTAATAAACATAACCTATTATATCAAATGTTCTAATCTACATTCTGTTCTAATTTTACGTTCTGAAGCATAGAGAGTAAATGAGTTTTTAGTGCCTGAGAATAGGAACTCAATCCTTAATAATTCTCTAAGGAATCATGGGAACCAAAACTTTTAGGTCTCTTCTATGTGCACTAAAAAATGGTTCATGGGAAAGAACTCAGAATTAAGTGCTAACAAAAGCAGCACCCTACCAATTAAGTTTAACATGAGAGGCAGAATTAGCAATTATGGAAAACATACAAAAGTGGCAAAGGAGATAATGGTTTTTAAAAATTACACAGCTAAGTGTCTACCAATCCCAGTCAACCTAGAATCTTTTCTCCCCAAGCCTACTTTCACTCTGAAGGATTTAAGTAGGGACTGGCTACAAAAACTGCTAGTTGCCTGGAGGCTTCATCTGGAATGAGATCAATCTTGTGTAGCAAGCAAATTACAACTCTGATTTGAATTCATAAAAATTGTTTCAGTAATGTGATAAAATTTTGAGTTTTGTCTCCAAACTGTTGAATGGACACCAGCTGAAATATAAACTGAAATACCTTATATAAATGAGTCCTCATTTCCATTATTAACTCTGGCAACAAGAGGAGATAAAGGACAAATAATCTGTTTTTCCAGACCCAGCAAGATGGTTTACCAGATACAATTCCACTGAGCCAACACTAAAACATGACAACAATATTTATTTGCTAACTTGAAGCTAGCTTCATTCATATGCTTGCTATTTACTTCATATTTATGATGAACATGTCTCCAGGTCTTATTTTTATTTCTCAACACAATCTCCTCAGAGGCAAAGCCTCTGCAGAGTGTTACTCAATAAACAATTGTTAAAATGCACTTTAGCAGATCATTATTATAGCTCAAATTCTAATAATGATCTGGTGGGAATTTCAGGGTGGGTGTGAGAATTTATTTTCATCTTAGTGCCTCTATTTTGTCCATATAAAGAGGAATTAATAGAGAAAACGTATAGTAAAATTTTAAGAACACAAATCAAAGGAGGAAGTAAATGCAGCATTATTACTACAAATACTTCCTGCTTTACAACAATGATCCTTAGGAGGACTGTAAGATCTATTATTTATCTTTCACTTCTCTTTACACAAAATATATTTGGTGATCAGCTTCCTCATGGCTGTCTTTACTTCCTTGTTTCTCAATGTGTAAATAATGGGATTAAGTAAAGGGAATATCACAGTATGAAACACAGACACCACTTTATCTAGGGAAAAAGAGTCAAATGGGCGAGCATAAATATAGATGGATGGCCCAAACATTAGCACCACAATGGTAATGTGGGAATAGCAGGTGGACATGGCCCTGTTGGTATTCTCACCTGAGCCTCCGAGTTTCTTGAGCATGGCCAGCAGGAAGGCATAGGACATTAACAAAGCAATGAAACACATCACAGAGATCAGACCACTGCTAAAGATCATCACTAACTCCTCTGGGAAGGTGTTGGCACAGGCAATCCGGACAACCTGTGTGATGTCACAGAAGTAACTGTCTAACTCATTGGGCCCACAGAAAGGAAGTCGAACAATGAGAGCCACCTGTATTATAGAATGAATGAAGCCTCCCATCCAGGAGAGAGCCACCAGGATATAGCAGAGACGTCGATTCATGATAGTAGCATAGTGGAGGGGTCGGCAGATAGCAGCGTAACGGTCAAAGGCCATCACTGTGAGCAAGAACATCTCTGATGCCCCAACAAAGTGTAAGAAGAAGAGCTGTACAATACATCCACCAAAGGAAATTATCTTCCTCTCCACAAAGAAGTCTATGAGCATTTTAGGGGCTGTAATGGAAGAGTACCAAATATCAAGGAAAGCCAGATTAGCCAACAGGAAATACATAGGAGAAGTCAGATGAGGGTCAAGCTTGATGGTGCAAATGATAAGGATATTTCCTGGTAGGATGAACAAATAGAAGGATAGAAATATAGCAAATAGGACTAGTTGGACCTCCCGAGTCTGGGATAGGCCAGTGAGAACAAATTCTGTCACTGTGGTGTAATTTGCAGTTGCCATTTCTTCAATTAACTTTTTTCATAATATAGCTACGAAAATTAAAGAAACTATAATTAGCCCACATAGCATTTAACTAGAGTTGTATCACTGCTTTCCAAATTGTCTTATGTTCCCAGTCATTAACAGATTGCATAAGGATACATTTGGTTGCCCATTTTATATTTGATACACCAGGAGGGAGAGAATATGTGATGAACTTGTGAATTAGAAACATTAAAACTATGTGAAGTGTGGCATATATTTGAAACTCAAATCTCAGCTTGTTAATGTTAAAAATGTTACTTTTCATGAAATTCGGCAATGCACTAATTCTTCCCCCAAACATCTACATTAGTGAGAAATATGTGCAGCTACTTCTGAGTATAGCCAAATTTTGGCTAGTTATCAGAGATGTAGGCTTTTTTTCTAGATCTTTTTTTGTTGAGAAATCTTGCCAACCTGAAAACTTAGGCTTGCAGTCTAATAGCACATATCCAGATCTAGCAGTATTTTAGTTGTAATACATGAAAGAAATCCCAAAGCAGCATGAGTAATGAATGGACATATTTTTCCATAACTAAAACCTGTACAGCTTGATCCTTGGTAGCAGGTAACCAGTCACAATATATAGCTATGCAAGGCCCTATAAAAAAATTCTTCTAGCTGTGACCAGATTCATCAATACCTGATACTACCCTGACTATGAAATTCGCTTACCATTTCAGGAAAGTAAGTAGAAGGTGTAGTGATCTGAGAAATGGGTATGCTTGCTACCCAATTTGACCCTGAGCTGATCAGCTCTGCTGTTTCAAGGTGACAATAAGAATAATATTATTCTTAAAATTTTGCTATTGCCCTGTATTGAACCTGACACCACTAAGTAGAACAAAAGTTGTCAAATAAAAATGAAATGAACAGCTCACGTTACCAAATATGCTTTTCTTTAGGTAAGGTTAAAAACTGTCACACCAAAGTAAGTTTTGCTCTAACCAATAGCCAATACAAGAGTGTTGGGTTTTTTTCTGCGACGTGATATTTTATGATAGTGCCTTTTTTATTACTTAAAAAATTAAATATGAAAAATAATTTTTAAAAAGTTAAAGTTCTGTAAAACCAAATAGATGTGACTGTGTCCAAACACCTATGGGCACTATGTACACTACTGAGTAAAGAAACTAAATGCACCATTTTTGGAAACTACTGGCTCAGTTTGTACATAATTTTAACAAATATAGATAAATGACTTTCAGTATCTTATAGAGTCATTGTGTTCTGAAGAAGGGATGGCTTGCCACAAACAGACACAAAGGAAAAAGGAGCAGTATTTTCCAGGAATCTGGCAGCAAGAGGAAGAAAAGTGAAAATACTCAGAAAGTGAGCAGTGTGGAACTATTTAGAAAAGGGATAAATCTCCCCATGTCCATAAATTGCCCAGTGTGGACCTCAGTGAGTTAATTAAGCACATTTAGTAAGATAGGAAAATTTAAAATTTGATTTAGGAAGATTTGAATCAAAAGAAAGGTAATAAGGTTATCTAGAATGACATATTTCCTAAGATTCCAAAAAACAATTATTTTACTATACTTACCTGAAGGAAGCAGCTCATGGCCCCATAACTAATAACACAACAGGCATAACTATATATACTTGTTATGCTATTAGTTATGAAGGCCATAAGATAGTTATATACTAACTCATTTACATTCACTGATAAGTCACCTATGAGGTTCCAACAATCAATTTTCTACCACAAGCATCTCAAATGTGATTATTCAGCTCATTTACATATTTTGCTATTATGCTATGCAGTTTCTGACCAGATAGAAGTGATTATTCATTCTTAAGTAAATAATTGTCCCTTTATTATTGAAAGGAGATGAATATTTTCAAGCAGAAAATACCATTACATGATCATATGCTTTTTTTATTATTATGGGGACATGATGAAGTGATTCTGATTGTTGTCACACAAATCACGCCTTCCTCCTCTGCTCTATTCCACACTCATTCCACTAAAGCAGAAGTAGAAAATGGCACTAATCTAGAAAGAATTTAGGTGAATGAGTGTTGATGTCTTATACATCAGGTATTGTGGAATAGAAAGGGTGATTTTACCAGAAAAAGTATTGAAGAGATTTTCTTTTATACCTCAATGTTCAAGATATGACATAAAATTAGAAACTAATTATATATACTTTGCATTAAGAACCAAAATTAACGTCATTTATTCCTTTGGACAGAAATGCAAAGGATTCATCCCTCCGCACTCCTTGATGAATGTCTCTCTCCTCCACCCTTCACTACTGTCAGAGGAAAAGAAATATTTTACTGGAGCATCTCAATCCAATAGTCAGGCAGCCAATCAAACTCCCTAGTCCCCAAGCTAGGAATGCTCAGCCACTACTTATAACATATACACACACGCCACTATACCATGTCACTTTCTCAAGGAAAAACAAACACCTATTTTCCCTACATTAACATGACCATGACCTAAAATATCATAAAACACGCAACAATTATTATTCTGTCCAGCACTTGTCATTTAATACATGTCAAAAAAAGCTAACTACATATGATATTAAAAAGTCTATTCCTAGATATATACCTTCTGTGTCACTTCTATAAACTATTCCTTTGTTTATCCAACAGACATTTAGGGAGTATCTACCATACGCTACCTGCTGAGACACAGCAATGAACAAGGAAGACTGAAGACTCAATATTTGCCTCATCAAACTTCCATTCTAAAAATATAGACAGATACTAAATAAGTAAACAAGCAAATAAGAATAAAATAAAATATAAATAAGTAAAATAAAATAATCACCACTAGTACTAAGAGACAAGAAGGAAATAAAAAGGGGGCGATGGTAAATGATGACAGAGGGTGGTATGTGTGTGATGGAGTATTTTTTAAAAAGGTTTTCTGAGTTGGTGACCTTTTGCTGACTTTGAAAGTTTGAAGAAAAGCATTTTAGGAATAGAGAATAGAAAATGAAAAGGCCTTCTGGCATGAAAGACTTTCTAAGAACTGTAGTAAGACCCACAACTAGTAGAAGTATTAAAACAGAATAAAGAGACAGTCAAAAACCAGGTAATACAGTCCACAATAATAAAATTGGATTTCCAATTTTCTTTCAATATGTTTTACAATAAAACTTGAAGAATAGCTTAATACAATTTGCAATTTAGAAATATCACTCTGGTTGCTATGTGAAGAAATTGGAGAGAGACAACATTATAGAAAAAAAAATTATGTGGCTTAAACTAATGATACAGCAATAGCTACTTGGAGAAAGGAATAATCTGTTTAAAAAATATTGAGAAGATACAATATTTAGGAGATAAACACGATTTATCAGTAGATCATATGTTGCTATTGTTATACTTCCAAAGACAGCTGGAATTTGAACTCAACAATGGCAATTTTTTAAAATTGTCTTTCTGCGTTCTGTGTCTAAAATGAGGTTCATCTAGCATATTGCAGGTCCTTAATAAAATTGGGCTGAATAAACTATACATACTTGGGTATGCACTGTAACACCCTAGGAAAGGCTGGGAATTGTGCCAAGAAAACTCAAAGCAAGGAATTGTTTGTGAGAAATTCTTCGGGGAGATAAGCCACTCATAAAGACTGACTTAGGACATTTTTTTCCAAGGTTGCCATTTAGGAGGGGATGTCTATTCCAAATCAGCGCTTACTCTAAGAGCAGTTATTGGGTAAGTTGCTTAAGAAGATTTACTTCGTCTCATATCTACCTACCTACTCCTTCTAAGCTTCTGCTCCTCTTTTAGCAACATCTAGAAAATTCCCATTCTTAATCTGCAGAGACATAGTTCCTAGAGGACTATGTGGAAATACCCAGTACAGAGACATTCCCTGGAGGTGAGTGAACTGTGAAATCTCCTCAAGAGAACCAATGCTTTGGGGGAAAACAATAATCTGTGTGATACTGAGGTCATGAAATCTTCCTCTATGACAGTTTCTTCATAGCAACAGGAGGGATTTTTAACTAGAATTTTGAGAAATATTCTACCTCTAAAATCCTATGATTCTATTAAGTAAAAGTAGGTTGAGAATAAAATTCTCAGAAAGGTAAATTAAGAATGATTTGGGTATCAATAGGGGGAAACAGTGATGTAATCACCATTGTGGATAGATACAACACTTAGAAATAATGTGAATTAATGCTACTATGTTTAGGATATTGAGTTCACTTATTCTTCGGGATGGTGAGGAAGAATTATACAGAAGCATCTTCACCATGTAAATGGTATATGGAAGCCCAGGGACTTTAAGTGTCTTAAATAAACCAGTAGCAGTCCCAGACTCACAGTCCTGTTACGTTTTTGGTGTATCACTATTAATAAATCCTTCAGCTAGTCTCAGAAGCCTCTTTTCTGAAATGCCTGAAATTTTGTATGAATTTTGCATAAATTAGTTCCATAGAAATGCCATATTTCTATGCTTCCCATAATAGTAGCCCTCCAGTAAATATTTTAACTCATTACACTGTAATTTTTCAGTTTGTATTTTGTAAAACATAACAGAAACTCTGAGCTCCCTGAGTCATGGAGTATGTCTCATTTATCTATCTAGTGCCTGAGGTAGTTTCTAGCATGATATTGTCTTCAATACATGTTTGTTAAATGGATGGATGGATGGATAGATGAAATGATTACATGGATTTTTAATTGAATAAATAAATCAATAGACTGAAAAAAATTAAATCACAACATCTGTTTCTATTACTTCATTTAGTCTTTCCTTACTCTGCTACATGATTTGTAACTTTGCTGTATGGTATCCTTTTTTTAAAATACGTATTTCACCCACATTTCTTTCAAGCTAGAGTCTCTTTGTTTTTAAGTTTCTTTTTTGCTTTTCTATTTATTTTTAAAGTTGTTGCTACTACTAACGCTAATCCCTTTGAAATAAAACATCCCAAGCCCCACCTTTCCCAGCCTTTTTATAGAGATCATCTGAAGAACTATAATAAGAAGTAACTAAAGATCTTGACATTTTCCAGACTTTCTTTCAAGAACAAAGGAATTCAAAATTTTGGAAGTTTATTTTAATGATTTGTTACTCTCTGAAGACCCATAAATCAAAACAGCCTTCTCTGAGCTTGTTTACAAATGGTTCATCTTATGCATATAGAATAACCAAACTGTCTCCTCAATGCCCTGTTCAACCCTGACTTTAAAATGCTTTAATTATTGAGATCAAGGCAAAGAAGAAACAATTTGTCCACCCACTCCACAGCTAGGACCTGCTATATACTATCATCACAGTTCCCTAAGACATTTCCTTACATGTTGCTTTCTGTTTCTTACCACTCGTCTCTGAGCACTGCACATAGCTATTCCCATCATTATATCTATTCTACTGTCTCAAAATTAGGATGGTTTATGTGAACATTATAACAACATTTCAACCTACCAATTACTGTGACAGTCTTGGTATATTCAGGAACTATGGGGAGAAGGTAGAAGCCTCTTCCCCCATCCACAGTGGAGGACTTTGTCCTCTATATGTTGGTATATATCAGTTTCTGCCCTGATGTAACAGTAAACTATGCACCATGGGTTATAACTGCAAAAATCAATTCTCTGGAGGCCAGGGGAAGCCAGGTAGAAACATAAGCCCTGAGGGAATAATTTAAAAGTTGATTTGTGCTTCATCCAAAGAGCACAGAAACACAACTTTTGAGTTGCACAGAAGAAACATGATGAATTTTCCAGGATTTGAGTGGAAAATGTTATGATCTACAATATGTGTTCTCTAGAGTATGATGTGCATTTTCAATCCTACTGTCTCAGAGGACACAATAAGTTGTGTTTGAACAACTGGCTAACCAGACCTTTTAAAAGAATTATATTTTATAACTTATACTTAACACAAATTGCAAGGGAGTAATTTTTTAATTACTAGAAATATAGAGAGACTATTTAAATTATTTTGGAATAAATACAACTTTTTAAGTATATCCCCCATGAAAGAAAAGCAAATAGGAAAAGAGTTATAGCATATTTGATAATGAAATTTAAAACTTAATGGCAAGCACAAATACAGGGAAAAATGTTAGAAATTAAAACTACAGTAATATGTATGTAAGCCTCATGGCAAACACAAATCAAAAACCTATAGTAAATACACAAAAGATAAACAGAAAGGAATCAACGCATACTACCAAAGAAAGTGATCAAATCACAAAGGAAAACAACAAAAGAGTAATAAAGGAATAAAGGATCTACAAAACAACCAGAAAACAGTTAATAAATTGACAATAGTAAATCTTTACCTACCAACAATTACTTTAAATATAAATATATAAATTTTGCCAATCAAAAGACAAAGAGTGGCTGAATGGATTTATAAAAATAAGATCCAACTAAATGCTGCCTACAGGAAACATACTTCACCTTCAATAACACGCATAGACTAAAAGTGAAGGGACAGAAAACAAAAATATTTCATGAAAATGAAAACCAAAAAAGAGCAGCAGTAGTTACATGTACATCAGAGAAAATAGGCTTTACTGTCACAAGAGACAAAGAGGGTCATTAGACAGTGATAAGTTCATCAAGATGATGTAACAATTATAAATATGAAAACACCCACATCAGAGCACCCAAATATATAAAGCAAATATCAACAAATCTAAAGCAAGAGATAGACAGCAATGCAATAATAATAGAGTTTTAATATCCTATTTTCAACAATGGATAAATAATCCAGAAAGAATATAAGTAAGGAAACGTTGTTCTGAACTACTTCAGATTAAATGAATCTGATAGACACACACAGAATACTCTGTCCAACAGCAGAACACACATCCTTCTCAAGCTCACACAGATTATTCTCCAGAACAGATTGCATGCTAAGCCACAAACAAGTCTTAACAAATTTCAGAAGATCGAAGTCATATTAAGTATATTTTCTGACCAATGTGGTATGAAAATAAAATCACCAATAGGAAGAAAACTGAAAAATTTATGTAGATATAGAAATAAAACAACAACCAGTTGGTATTTTGACAGATGTTGGTCAAAGGGCACAAACCTTTAGCTGCAAGATGAGTAAGTACTGGAGAGTGAAAGTACAGTAGCTTCGAATTTGTTAAGAAAGTAGACCTCAAGTATTAACACATAATGCACATACACACATATGCAAATGGTAATCATGTAATATATGAATATGTTAATTAGCTTGGTTGTGGTAATCATTTCATAAATATGCAAATACCCTAAATATATGTAATTTTTATTTGTAAATCATACCTCAATAAAGCCTGAAAAATTGTAGCATATATGTGTGTGTGTGTATATATATATATATATATACACATGCAAATTGGAATATTATTCACACTTTAAAAAGCAAGATACAGAAGGACAAGCATGATCTCACTCACATGTGGAAACTAAAAAACTGAAAGTAGAATGGTGGTTGCCAGGGGTAGAAAGGAAAGGGAGAAATGAGGAGATATCAATTAAAGGTTACAAAGTTTCAGTTATGCAAAATGAATGAGTTCTGAAGAGTTAATGCACAACATGGTGTCTATATTACAACGTAATACTGGATTGGACAACTGAAATGTCCTAAGATAGATCTTAAGGGTTCTCACCACACACACAAAAAGGTAACCCTGTGAGGTAATTGATATGCTAATTATTTTAAATGGGAGAATCATTTCACAGTATACACATATTTCAAACTATCAAGTTGCACACTTAAATATGTACAATTCTTATTTGTCAATTATACCTCAATAAAACTGGAAAAGGGGAATGAAGGAGAATAAGCTAGACCATGTGACCACATGCTGGTTGACCTCCCACTGAATGTCAATCCTCCTTTCAAATGACTATCATAAATCTCTTTTTTGTGTGTGGGGGCTTCTGTATTTCCTCCCTCTCTCAGTCCCTTCAGCCATAATGGTGTAAACAATTCTGCCACCTCTTACCCCTGATTATAGCACTAGCCTGTAAGGTACTTTATACCTATAAACTCATAGACAGTATCTCGTTAAACAAATCTTTTTCAAATTAGCCTATATTGAGTATGTCATTAACTTTTATGGAAGTTGGAACTCTAAATGATATAATTTTCTATAAGTGTATCCTTCCTTGAGTGTATTAACTTGTTTCATCCTATTGACTCTACCTTTACAACTAAGACGCTCCAATGTATTAGATAATATAAATTCCCACCCTCTCCTTTCTGTTTCATGAAGCTGGGGGTTTTCATCCTCTGCTTTCAACCATTTCTGTTGTCTCCTATGCCTACTGTACAGCCATAATCTTAAAAGTGCCTTTTGATCCCTTTGTGGTTCATAAGAGTGATGACTGAGATTTCACACTCCTGTGTGAGATGTACCTCCCTCAAATCTTATGACATGTGCACATTACCTGACTCACATGAAGAAAGAAAAAGGAAAAAGAAGAGAGATTAGGATTTTTTTTTAGACAAAGTGGGTTTAGCCACGTTGCATTGCATATATTAATTTCTTGATCTCATTTCTTCCTCTTGTTTTGGTGGGACACATTATCCCACACTTTCAAAAAAAAGAATACTTGTAAAGTAAACTTTATAAATTTTTGCATGGCTAAAAATGCTTTATTCTATCTGCCTAACTGATATATTTGTTCTATATAGAATTCTAGGCTGAAAATCAGTTTGAAGAACTTTTCCACTATATTCTAGGGATGAGTTTGCTACAAAGCATACTCATGCCATTTGAATTTCTGCTCATTTGTGATCTATGTAGTTTTATTTTCTTAATAATTCTACAATATTTTCAATCTTTAAGGTGGTAAAATTTCAGAAAAATGTGCCTTGATATTTTTTTTAATCTTGTCCTGGGCATTCAGGAAATTTTTTACATCAAAAAAATTAAGCATATCTGTTGTAAGAAATTTATTTATTTTTTAATGCATCTCTCTGTTTTCTTGTCCTTTCGGAATACATGTCAGTTAAATGGTTTCCCCCAACTTGATACCTTATGTTCCTTGCTTTTATCTTTCCTTTTCTCCACTTCTTTGACTTTTTTTAATCCTACTTCCATAAAGACTGTACTTTTACGACTTCTTTGACTACTTGTTTTCTTGCAATCCCATATTAATTTAATTTTGTTTACTATTTTTTTATTTTATTTACTTTCCAAAAATAATTTGTTCTTTATTTTTCAGTGCATCATATTCTTATTTAAAGATTACAAATATATCTCATTGAGGAGAAGATATAGTTTAAAAAAATTTTTTTTTCACTGAATTACCTATAATTCCACCAGATTCCTTTCGACTTTTTTTAAAGGCCTACTTTTTTCCTTTTCTTTTTACATTAAAAATGCAAATTTTTAATTTACATAAGGCAAAAAGATTGATCTCTTAAGCCAGCTTACTACTTGGTAGGCTTCTGGTCAAGGTTCCAGGAGAGAGGTAGCCATTTCATTTGTAATCTCCAAAGGCTTTAACATTGTTTCTTTCTTTCTTTTCTTATTTTTTTTAATGACAAAGTCTTGCTCTGTTGCCCAGGCTGGAGTGCAGTGTCACCATCTCAGCTTACTTTAACCTCTGCCTTCCAGGTTCAAGCAACTCTCCTGCCTCAGCCTCCTGAGTAGCTAGGACTACAGGCACCCACCACCACACCCAGCTAATTTTTTGTACTTTTAGTAGAGACAGGGTTTCACTGTGTTAGCCAGGATGGTCTCAGTGATCCTCCTGACCTTGTGATCCTCCTGCTGGTGCCAATATTCTGTCTATGACTCATATGCCACTGTTAGCATCTGGGAACAGAAAGAGAGGATGGATGATTGGACTGTTCCTTTCTCTTAATCTTCATTAACAGCCCTGAACCTCACAACCCCCTGACCTGGTATCCTGGCATCCCAATCATTGTAGGGATTCAGGAAGCAAATCTCTGGCCTTTTCTTCAGTATTTCTCTCTGTTGGTTACTAGACTTAGCCTTCCCGATACTACCAAATCAGTTACTACTTTTCTTGTCTTACCTTTTCCAAACTTTTGTTGAAATCTCTTGTCTGCATCTAACTCCTGCCCTATTTCTTTGTTCCTATGGGTCTAAACCATTTTTTTCTTGCTGCAATTGTTGTTACTGTTATTGTCACTGTTATTATAATACTTTGCTCATAGGAGAGAAAAGGAAACCTAATGTATTCTATCATTTTAAATATAATTTGTGTATTTGTTGTTTATCTTAAAAACTCAGGAGTTTAAAAAAAGAATAGAATGATCCTTTGCAAAGGGAAATTAATATGAAAATAACTATAAGAAAATACAATAACTATAAGAAAATTTTAATCATCAGAATGTTAATGGTAATCATGTTATGAGAGGACTGGAGTAGAAAAACCATTTTAGGCCGGGCGCAGTCGCTCAAGCCTGTAATCCCAGCACTTTGGGAGGCCAAGGCGGTGGATCACGAGGTCAAGAGATCGAGACAATCCTGGTCAACATGGTGAAACCCCCGTCTCTACTAAAAATACAAAAAATTAGCTGGGCATGGTGGCGTGTGCCTGTAATCCCAGCTACTCAGGAGGCTAAGGCAGGAGAATTGCCTGAACCCAGGAGGCAGAGGTTGCGGTGAGCGGAGATCGCGCCATTGCACTCCAGCCTGGGTAACAAGAGAGAAACTCCGTCTCAAAAAAAAAAAGAAAAAAGAAAAAGAAATTGCTGTGCACCTCAAAATATGTAAAGTTCTATTTTTTTTTTTCCTGTACAAAAACCATCCTTTGGGCAATTTGTTGATTTATACTAACCCCTTTCATTATAGAAAGTATATATTTCTAAGTCGGTATTTTTGTATTGTATTATAATTATCTCCTTGCAAATCTGTTTCCTTTCCTAGAGTACAATATTTATTGGAAAAGACTAGGAAAGGAAGAAAAGAAGGAGGGAACAAGAGTTCAGCTTCCAGTAAATTAGACTTCTGTTTTGAAGAGACATGATCTCGTGAGAAGATATGATCCGGGATATCTTTCTCTTATAACGTCATTCTAAATTACTGAATTGTAGCTTAAGAGCATTTCATGTGAGCAGAAGGAATCTAACGGGTTAAGTGAGATATTGAGTGTTAACCCTTTCACTCTAGAAGAGAGGATAAATCTTACCAAGCACTGAAAGGTTTAAGTTTAGACTGTCTGAAATAGTCTCAAATTATTTTCTGCTAGACAAAATATAAAAGCTGCATTTTCGGAAGTATTTTTTTTTCATTGTTAATAAATTAGGGGTCATTGAAGTATCAACTAAGTCTCTGATTTTACAATTCTGACAAACTATTCTTTCTGCTTTTCCTCCAACGAGATCTTGCTATTCCACAGACGCCTCATGGCATTCTTTACATCCTTATTCCTCAGCGTATAGATGAGGGGGTTCAGCATTGGGGTGATGGTGGTATAGAACACAGACACAGCTTTATCCAAAGGGAAAGTAGTGGATGTGCGGAGATAAATAAAGATACATGGAACAAAGAAGAAAGTTACTACAATCAGATGAGATCCACAGGTAGAGAGAGCCTTGCGTCGGCTCTCTGCAGACTGTTTTCGAAGACTAAACAGAATGACTGTGTAGGAGGCCAAAAGAATAAGGAAACACCCCAGGGAGATGAGACCACTATTGGCAACTACCAACATGTTTACCAGGGTTGTATCAGCACAGGCAAGTTTTAGGACTGGGTGGACATCACAAAAGTAATGGTCTATAATCTGAGCATTACAGAAGGGCAGCTGGAAGGTCAGGAGGGTCTGAACAAAGGAATGACCCAGGGCCCCCAACCAGGACAGTGATGCCAGCACAGTACAAGCATTAGCACTCATGATGGCGGTATAACGGAGGGGTTGGCAGATAGCAGCATAACGATCAAAAGCCATGACAGTCAAAATAAAAATTTCAGCACAACCAAAAAAGTGGAAGGTAAACATCTGAGTTATGCAGCCCCAGTAGGAAATAGTCTTTTTCTCAGAAACAAAGTCTGCAATCATCTTGGGTGCTGTGGCTGAGGAATAGGCAATGTCCACAAAAGACAGGTTACTGAGGAAGAAATACATGGGTGTGTGTAGTCGGGGGTCAGAAAAAACCATAAGCAAAATGAGGAAATTTCCCACCATGATCACGATGTAGAAGAGGAGAAATAAGGCAAAGAACATCAATTGCATTCCAAAATCTTGGGAAAGTCCCAGGAATATAAACTCAGTGACATTGTTGGCCACTCTCATGGGGCCCCAGGCAGTGGTGGAGTGGCTCTGATTCTCTGCAAAAATAAACGCATGTTATAAACCATTGTAAGCATGGTAAAGCCTAACAATAAGAGTCTCATGAAAATAACCTATGTGATGTTAAATATAGTAGAGAAAGTTCTTCATATTTCTTGAACATAGTTCATGAATATTTTTCTTGTCATTAACTTTATTTCCACATTATTAACTCACATTTGAATTTCTTTTATAATTAGTCTTACAGTTCCTTTTTTCATACAAGAACCTACAGAATCTGAGACTTTTCAATTGAATTCAACATTTTTCCCTAATCAGTGCTCTCTTTCCCCCACCTCCAACTTCTCTTGTCAGAAATTGCTTTGGGTGAAAACTTCATTTAATTAATTAATTTTTTGAAGCTCTAAATAAATGCATGAAGTTAGAGTATAAGATCTGATGTATAAAATTCCAGAATTCTTCAAATATAATATGTACTACTCAGCTATAGAAAAGTAACATTTTATTTAATAGAGAGGAAGACTCAGTTTCCAATTTCTCAATTAGATTGAAAGTCTCAATTCAATTAAAAATTAAGTCATTTTTAGTGCTTATAAATCAACATTGAGGAAGTTTGAATTATAAGCCTTGACTTGCATGTGAAAATTCCATTTTGCATGCCAATAAGGAATACATAAGAAGTAAACAACTTACACAGAGAAATACTATTTTCTGTGTTGCTGTAAAGAGTTGAAACGTTTAAAAATTACTGAGTTCCTTGTCACCCTCAATCCCTTTGCAGGTCCCTATCACCCTCAATCCTTTTGCCTTGAAAAAAACCCAGATAACCCTGTCCTTGTAATCATAGGTAAAAATTAGGAATGAAATTTTACATACAGATAATGTTATAAATGATAGTTCTCCATCTCAAAAAAAAAAGTGTCTGAAGCAATTTTATAAACTATAATTGGAATGCTAATGTCATACAGAGACTGGATAAAAATGATCAGAAAAAAACATTAAAGGAGATTATTAGACATTGAGATATAAAGTTTCTTGAAATAAAAATGGCTTTTCTGAAATATGAAAATTACTAGCTATTCTCCATCTTTACTCAGAATACCCCTTTTCTGCATGGATAGCAGAAAGAGCACTGCCCAGAAGCTGAGTGGTATAAGTTTGAGTGCCCTTATCAGCCTTATAACTTTGGGCAAATCTATTTATCTTCCCTGAATCCCAGTTTTCTCATCTATAGATGAATGATAAAATTTTTTATCTCACAATGCTGTTTCAGAATTAAAATGAGACAATCTATATAACATGTTTTTAATTTATGAGGTGTTTTCCTTTTAATTTGAATCTATGCAATGGAATCTCTCTAGTAAGCACAATTTGCAATTTGATCTATTTAGCATTTATATTAAAGCTATATAATGTAACTACTACAAAATATTAAAACGTATATAATTTTATTTCTGAGATAATAGCTATATTATCTGCTCATCTCCATGAAGGAAATACCATAAATAGTACCTAACATTTACTGAGCATTTTACCATGTGCAGAATCATGTGCTAAACTCTTTGCATATGTTACTTCATTCCATCCTCACAACAATATCATAATTTTTATTATATCCATTTTACAGAGCAGAGCACTAAAGAGTAAAGAGGCAAATTGTCCAAAATAATTTTCAGCAAAAAGTCTGGAATTTGAATTGTGGTATTCTTATTCCAGAACACGCGTAACTTACATATCCCTAAGTAAATGATAGGTAGATAAAAAGATTAGCTAGGTAGACGATAGACAGATAAGTTTCTCATAAAAAGAACTGAATTTATTATTTTATTATATTATTATTATTATTATTGAGACAAAGTCTCACTCTGTTGCCCAGGCTGGAGTAAAATGCCGTGATCTCGGCCCACTGCAACCTCCACTTCCTGGGTTTGAGTGATTCTCCTGGCTCAGCCTCCCAAGTAGCTGAGATTACAGACACCTGCCACCATAAAAAGAACTGAATTTAAATAATTGTTTTTTTATCATGCAAAGTGCTTCGATCGGAGAATATGTTTCACATTCCTAAAATCTTTGTGTTGTCTATGCTCTATACCAGCAAAGCCAAACTGTGCTCAGTCAGCAGTTGGCAAAATCATGAGGGTTGAAAGAATGTTTAGATAAAAAACACTTACATTGTACTTACTATGTGCCAAGTTCGATTCTAGGTGTTTTACATATTATAGCTCATTTAACTCCCATAATGATCTTACAAAGCAGTCTGCCACTATTAGTCCCAGTTCAGAAATGAGAAAACTGAAGCACAGAAAAAGTAACTTGCCCAAGGTCATAGAGCTAGTGACTGGCAGAGTTGACATGTGAACCTAAGCAATGGGACTTCAAGATTTATTTTCTTAACTACTATGCATACCCTGGGTCTGATGGCATCAAAGCTACCAAATATCTTTCTCATTTGAAAGCCTTAAACCTTCTACAATAATCAAAAGACTCGTTTTCTTCTAATAACGGAAAGTTTTTTTTAAGTATATACACTACTTAGAGACAAAGACTATATCTACAACTGGTAAGATCATCAAGGCATAGAGTCTGTGACCAGCTTTTCTCAAATTAAGTTTACAGTGGGGATATACTAACAAGTGATATGATACCGATCATTAATTCAGTCATTATTTGATTTGGCAAGTGTTGCCAATCAAGTGGAGGAGGTCCGCATGTAAATTATCACAGTTCTTGTGAAAGGGCTCAGGAAGGAGACCCAGGAGAGATAGGATTTCCTTTTCAAAGGCTGTCACTGAGTAGAACTCTGATAGATGAGTTAGAGTTAACCTGATGATGATGAAGATTGCAGGATGTCGGCACAAAAGAGTAGACAGGGCAGGAAGGACTTTCCAAGCCTAACAAATAAAATATACAAAGGTAAAGGTATAAATAATTACACCATCCTCTCTGGGAAGTGCCAACAGGTTTAATATGATTCAGCACAGAACCCACATAGGGTAGTGTCAGGAGATGAGGCTGAAAAGAAGACAAGCCTAGATTATAGAATCATGTAGGCTACACTTAAAAGTTAGCAATTAATCTTGAATTAATTGGGGTACCATAAAGATCACAACCACAGGAGGAGAGTAGCTCAATGGAAGGTATGTGAGAGAAGTTGTGAAAAAGAAGATTCCTGGAGCCCAGCTAGGTTCAAATTTTTGGCTTCACCGCTTGCTAACTGTACGACTTTAGGCAACTTACTTCACTTTCCTTTGCCTCAGTTTTCTCAGATGTAAAATGTGGGTAAGAATAGTACACTTATATAGAGTGTTACACATAGTAAATATATATTACATATAAAACACTTATGTGCATAACATACTCTAAGCAAATATAGCATTATCATTATCCATGTTAGCTACCAGAGAACATGCTGATGAGAAGAGACAGAAGCCCAGATAGGAGTCATCTTAGAACATGAACCTCTTTACTATATTCATCTCCTGATTCTCACCTACATGCATGCTTTATGCTTGTCCAAATCTTAGACTGTGTATCTACTGCTCACACCTACCCTCTCAAATATATTCTTCTGACTGGAGCAGCAACAGAGTACATTTGATATCCTTGCCTAGATGTATTTAAAAGTTCAAGCATAATGCCCAAAGATATTTGGGTAGCTGCTCTATTCACCATGAGTGGTGACAACTCTACTTTATCTATGATCCTCCTCAGGAGTTCATCAAAGATCAATCTAGGACCCAGGATCTTTTTGCTAACTTTGCTTGGAGAAACAGCACAAGACTTAAAGATAGAACAACTCACAGCTCTGCCTCTTCAGACTGTGTAACATTAACATAATTTTTCTAACATCTACTAATCTCCCCTGTGAGATAATGCTACCCATGGTAAGACTCAAATTAGATAAAGAAAAAAAAAGCAATAAACAACTTGCCAGACAAACTCTTCATCATTTTTTGGTGGAATTTCAGGAAGAGTCAGACATCTGAACTCTATGAACAAGAGCCTCCATGGGATGGACTGTTTCTACTGGTCTACCTGGGTTCTTAGGTTAAACTTGATCTAAGACAATGCTAAAGAATATGCATTAGTTAAAATAGGATTTGTGTAGCTAAAGAAAAAAGTTTCCTCCTTTATTTAACTGCATGAGCCTATATAAATTATTTCCAATAGAACCATTTCAAAGAATGCAACTCTTGGTATCTTCTGAGAAAGATATTATCTTAGTTCCTCTCATGAGGGATTACAAAGGGCAGCTATACACTATTCTGGATCTCTTTCCTAACAGCAAGCTCTATGTCATGGAAAACTTTTTCTGTAACGGTGTCCTTGACTTCAATATCCTTCATAGAGACATCATGACACTTGTGCATGTTTTTATATCTCTTGTCACCTGACATGATTTTATTACATATTAATCCTATCCTGTTCTCCTAACTGGTCCCAGTTGAGGAAACAATTTACCAATCTTTGTAGAGCTAAAAGATAAGGAAAAATATTGAAAAAATCTGCAAATGAGTTAGCATAGCACAATGTATGGATTGCTTACGGTATCATCTATTTGATTTATATTTCATAAGTACCAATATTAATTTACACTTTCACTTAATAAATATTTACTAAACACATCTGTGTCTGGTACTGCACTGTGAATATAAAAAGAGGAATGCAACCCAATTCCCAACATAAAACCATTTATTTTAGAGCAGCAGTTTTAAATGACCTCCCTAAATCATCTTAGACTGAAGCATAATTTATGTTAAGTCCTATACTTACCTATGCATAAAGGATTTTTAGAGATCATTTTACTTTATCCCACTCATTTAACCATTCGGAAACAAATAAGGTACAGAGAGGGAACTAAATTATCTAAGTTTACTGCTGGTGGTAAACCTGGTAAACCTAGGACTAAATTCCAATTGAAATTATATTGATACACACTTTAAATTGTAATACACTATTTCCTAAATTATTTAATTACTAGAACAGATATTGTAAAGTGGGTGAAGAATTTACAGAAGTAAAGAATTTATCTTTGAATATAATTTGAATCAAAGAAAATTAACCTTGCCTCTTTCACTCGTGGTTTAAGGCATCGCTCTAGATGGAAAGCTTACCCTGGCCGTTTTCTTGAGTGTGGTCCCACCACATGGATTTGAACAATCCAAGATCTTGGATCAGAAAAGCCTCTGAAATAAAAATGTGATCAATACCCAGATATGCACACTAAAAGACTGAGATTTATATAATGATGCTTCTCTCATGTGCGTGCCACATTTCCTCTTCTATAACCTAAAAAGAAACCTTGAGTTTGTTTTCTTTTTCTCTTCTTTCTCTCTCTCCCTCAAAAAAGGTATGTTTTATGAGGTTACACCCATGCCATAGCTTCTCATCTTAGTATGCAAAAAATGTCTACATTCCTGGCTGCCAAGGAGAAGAAACTCTCAGCAATATTTATGCATCATCAAAGCCCTTAGGAAGTTGATGGACAAGTGATTGGGTAAGCAGCAGGAGAATATAATTAGGCAGAGAAAGTACAAGTGTATTCTCTGCTAAATAACTTCTTGTAAAACCATATTGAAAGCTGGCCAAAAACAAGACTTTTAATTAGAGTATTGAAGATGAAAAGCACGTCAATAATTCAAGCAAAAGCAGCAGCATGTTCAGAGGCATAGAAGTTTGAGGAAACTGCACATAGTTCAGAGGTTCAAACAGTGGAACAGGCCTGACCACAAATTGAAATGAGGATTGATAATTGATCTCAGAAAAATTTTTCTATTAGAAAAGGCCTAAGGTGTAGAATGGTGCTGTAGTATGAAAAGTCTTAGTTATTATCCTACATTTTCTTATCCCCATGCAGACTCTATACCCCTACAGAATTTCATGATAATATTTCTACCAGAATCTGAGGTAGGATAGAACATGCAAACAAGAAAGTACAGATTTGATTAAATAAGGGGAAGAGACTGGTAGGGCTAGGATGTATATATTAATTGACTCAATTGAGCCATTTTACTATGTAGACATATTTATTTCAAAACATCCTGTTGTACATGACAAATATATACAAGTTTTACATGACAAATAAATAAATAAGAAACGATGCACAGATATGGGCAGAGTGGGGAGAGTCAAATGCTCACTTAAAGAGATAAAAACTAGAACTGCACTGTAATTATGTTATAGATTTCAGAATTTCCTCTAAGTAATGGAAGCTCAACAAGTATTTTCAAGTATTTACTTACAGAATAATTACAAAAAGCTTTTTGGGAACATAAAGAACTTAAGGACAATAAATTAACTGCCATGATAAATTAAAAAATAGACATGAGTAAGCCATTTCATTAAGGAAGAACTAATGAAATCTGAATAAAAGGTCCAGTGTAGTTAATAATAATGCATCAATATTGGTTTATTCCTTTGACAAATGTACCATAGTAATACAACAATACAGAAAATAGCATGATGTATAATTATATTCTGTTATATTAAACATTTTTGACTTTTTAGTAATAGCCATTCTGACTGGCACAAGATGGTCTGTCATTGTGGTTTTGGTACACACTTCTCTGATTAGTGATGATGAGCACGTTTTTCATGTTTGTTGGGAAGAGCCATCCCAAATATCTATGGGGCCCAGGGCAAGAGTACAAATGAAGCCCATGTAACGTATGTCTAAAACCTATACATCAAGCTAACAAATGTAAATAAAAAATCTTATAGCCTCATAATTACTGGAAGGCCAGTTTCCAATCTAAAATCCTCAGGCACCCTGAATTTCTGCACCAGAACATGTCAGCATGAACAGAGCAGGCCTTTGACCCTCAGACCTTCAGTCCACCTCTTCTCCAGTTCCAAACCCCACCATATGAAGTCTCTCATATATGAATGTGGACTCTGCTGCCAGAATGTGTAGGCTTTGTCCACACACTTTACACACAGGGCCCCTCAACCATCTCTGCAGTCTAGGGGTGCATACACAGCATGGTTCACTCTTAGGAAGACAGAGAAGAGGCTCAGGCAAGCTGTGAAAGTGAGTTCATGGTATCTGAACAGGAAACTCTGGAAGACCAGGCACCTAGATAATATCAATCATGTGCAGTCTCAAGAAACAGAAATTGTATCATTTATTAATAAAAAGAATTTTAATATATATAATTGGTTAAACAAAGAGAGACTTGAAAATGCAAAGGGGAATACAAAAAGCTCTTGCTTTTCTTAAAATGATGCTACCAATTTCAGTTATCAACAGGACATTTAAAATGATTTGCCAAGACTCTAAAGTTTGCTATTACAGAGGAACATCAGAAAAAGGGGATGTTGTAGCCAGCTTATACTAAGAGAAAGGCTGGAGCTCTATGTCCTCGAAACATGCCTAGTAATCCACAGAACCACTCAAATCTTTCTGTTAACTCACACACTACCCCCAGCAGTTTCCTGCACTTCAGGAATATCATACTGCTATCTTCAGAATATCATACTGCTCCTCAGGATATTCATCATGTGCAAAGGACTCTGAAAATGCTGAGTAGAGTGATGCAAAAGAGGAGAACATGATGTACCATCATGTACCATCAGGTGAGATATGCCATTCTCACCCTTACTCATACTATTTAAGAGTCCCCCAAATAGCAGCCTAGTTCCTAGCCTTTGTGGAGTCCTTCTGTAGCAATATATATATACATACATACATACATACATATGGCCTCTTAAATATAAAGTCATTAACTACCAACACAAAAATAAAAATAAATAAAACAAAATAAAAACAAATAAAAATAAAAACATGAAATGTTGCAAGGATCCTATGTCAGAGATAGATAACCTTAAATGTAAATGTTTTAAGTTAACCTTTTTAGGAATCTTACAGCTCCGAAGCTCCTATACAGGTATTATAGAAATTAAGTAATCTGGCCTGGCACAGTAGTTCATGCCTGTAATCCCAGCACTTTTGGAAGCCAAGGCAGGAAGATCACCTGTGGTCAAGACCAGTTCAGACTGGTTCAAGACAAGTCTGGCCAACATGGAGAAGTGCCATCTCTACTAAAAATATAAAAATTAGTGGGCATGGTGGTGGGCACATGTAATCCTAGCTACTTGGGTGGCTCAGGCAGGAGGACCACTTGAACCTGGAAGACGGAGGTTGCAGTGAGCCGGGATCACACCAGTGTACTCCAGCCTGGGAGACAAGAATGAGACTCTGTCAGAAGGAAGGAAGGAAGGAAGGAAGGAAGGAAGGAAGGAAGGGAGGGAGGGAGGGAGGGAGGGAGGGAGGGAGGGAGGGAGGGAGGGAGGGAGGGAAGGAGGGGAGGGAGGGGAAGGGAGGAGAGGAAGGGAGGAGAGGGGAGGAGGGGAGGAGGGGAGGGGAGAAGGGGGGAGGAGAGGAGAGGAGAAGCGGGGAGGAGAGAGACGGGAAGGGAGGAGAGGAGGGGAGGGGAGGACAGGAGGGGAGGAGGGGAGGGGGAGGGGAAGGGACAGAACAGAACGGAGCAAAGCAATCAATCTGTATAATTGGGATAAATACTCTTCCTGAGGAGAAATAAAATATTAATTATGTAATTATTACCTTTCTTGATTGATTATTTTTTTTCTAAGTGGTTGTGGGCAAGTCACTTAACTCTGAGTTCATTCTCAAAAATGAAGTTAGGTAATATTATCTGTTCCTCAATACATGTTTGAGACTCAAAGGTAATAAATGTGAACATCCCAAGAACTAGTGCTTTCGACCACAGTCCAGTTTCTTCCTCCTTTCCTCTAGAGCTTAAAACTCTTAAACATTATGTTCAGTCAAAGATTCAGCTTCTCTACTAGCCCCTACTGTAATTCCATTTAAAGATAAACTCTACGTGAAACTCGATACCTCTTCTTGGGAAGCTATACAATAAAATACTAACAGTTTCCATCACCCCAGCACTCCTGGACTTTATTTTTTTTTTTTTTTTTTTTTTTTTTTGAGATGGAGTTTCACTCTTGTTACCTAGGCTGGAGTGCAATGGCACGATCTCGGCTCACCGCAACCTCTGCCTCCCGGGTTCAAGCAATTCTCCTGCCTCAGCCTCCCGAGTAGCTGGGATTACAGGCACGCACCACCGTGCCCAGCTAATTTTTTGTATTTTTAGTAGAGACAGGGTTTCACCATGTTGACCAGGATGGTCTCGATCTCTGGACCTCGTGATCCACCTGCCTCAGCCTCCCAAAGTGCTAGGGTTACAGGCTTGAGGACTTTCTTTCTCTCACAATAAACTTTGTTAAGAGCATATGTTTATTATAGTGATGCTTGACTACATTTCTAAGATTTGGGACATTATGGAACACAGTTCCTAGGTAAATACTAGTACACAGGGTGGTTGTTACTGTTTCCCAGCTTGGTTTGTAACAGAACAAATAAATTCATACTACTTCAGAAGAGGATCTGATGAGACACCAGAAGGAACATCCTAACACTAGGAATCATTAAACCCTGGTGGAATGGAACACAAAAAGAGATATAATTTTTTCTTTCATTTTAATAGAATTAAAAAGTGAAACAAATTGAAGAAATAAAGGGTACTTAAAGACATAAAGCTGATCTTTCAAGGTGTCTTCTAACCCTAGCACTCCCTTGTTATCATTTGTGGACAGTAAATTCTCCTGAGTTCCTGAGTTCTCCTCATAGTCAAAAGACATAAGTGGCTTTCTAGAGTGCCACCTATGCTTTTAAACCATAATCAAGAGTGATCCATTGTAATCTTTATGCTGTCTTCTCTTTTATACCAAAGTCGCCAGTGTGGTTTTTAAACATGTATAAGATGAGTTAAGAGTGTTCCAAGAAAGAGTATGCTTTTCAAATCACCTTTTCTGCTCATTCTTTAACAAGGCAACAAAATGCCACATGGTTTTATTCTCAGCTTCTTCATAGCTATCTTCATATCAGCATTTCTAAGTGTGTAGATGAGGGGGTTCAACATAGGTGTGATCACTGTGTAAAATACGGAGAATATCTTATCCACAGCGAAGCTGCAGAAAGGTCTCAAATAGATGAATACACATGGCACAAAGATCAGGCTGACCACTGTCAGGTGGGAGGCACAGGTAGACAGGACCTTGTTCTGGCCCTGGCAAAAGTGTGTTCTCAGGGTGATCAGGATGATAGCATAAGAGAATAGTAAGACCAAGAAGCAGACGAGAGACAGCAGACCACTGTTGGCTGTCATCAGCACCTCTACCACATAGGTGTCCATGCAGGCCAGCTTGATGACCTGTGGGACATCACAGTAGAAGTTGTCCAGTTCATTGGGGCCACAGAAAGGCAGCTGGATGACTAGTATGACCTGCATGATAGAGTGGATAAAGCCCCCACACCAGCAGACAAGAACCAACCGAAGGCACAGCTGGGAGTTCATGACTCTAACGTAGTGCAAAGGGTTACAGATGGCAACATACCTGTCATAGGCCATAACTGTCAGCAGAAACATCTCACTGCCTCCTAGAAAGTGGAGGAAGTAGATCTGGGCCAGGCATCCTGAAAAAGAGATGGTCTTGCTCTGCTGTAGGAAATCCCCTAACATCTTTGGCACAGTAACCCAGCTCAGGCTTAAGTCAATGAAAGAGAGATGACATAAAAAATAATACATAGGAGACTGGAGCAGGTGAGAATTGGCTTGCACTGTTACCACTATCAAGAGGTTTCCCAGTAGAATAGCAATGTAAAAAAACAAAAATAGTAAGAAAAGAAATAGCTGCAGCTCCCGAGAAGAGGATAGGCCCAGAAGAACAAATTCTGTCACATTAGAATCTTGTTCTTTTTCCATCAAACCAAGAATATCAAGTGACCTAGATAAAAAAGAATTAAATCAGATCAAGAGAGACTTAAGATAGACATATATAAATTATATACATATATAATATATAAATAACATAAAAATTATTTAAGCAAGTTCTAGGGGGTAGTATAGGCAGTACACTCTTATATTGATAAAACAAGGAACTATTTCTTCCAACTCTTTATTCCTGTAATACTTTTAAATTGCATTCATAATAAACTAGAAGGAAAACAATGTCTGGACATGAGGTGATAAGAGCATGCTAATCTTTCCATTTCTTTTAATATACAGAACAATATCCTCTAAGGACAAAAGTTCTGGAATGAAGTATCTAGATCCAATGCCTACCTCCACCATTACCAATGGAGCACTCTCAGGCAAAGAAATAAACTTCTCTGTATTAAATCTAATACAGATTAATAATATCTCCCAAGATTGCTTTGAGAATCAAATGTAATGCCTATGAGCACCATTAAAAAAACAACTAGGTATCTCAAGATGAGGAAATACCTTACTCATCTTTGTATCTACAACACAATACTTACCGCATAGCATAAGCTCAGTAATTTATCAAATCAAAGGAAGAATGTTTTGTAAACAAAAACTTGCTATATTTTACAAAGGTTAATAGTTATTAATAAATATATTAGGAAACAAATCATTTAGAAAGGATTGAAAAAGAGCTCATATTTTTTCCTTACTTCCCAGGTCACAGAGATTGGAAAATTTGTAAAGATGAGGTAAGAAGAAATAGTCTCAATCTTTAAGATTTAGGGTAGCATCAGACTCAGGATGAGTAGGACAATGATTAAAAGATACTAATCACCAAAAAAGAGACCAAGGGTCATGACCCATATCATGGAAACATGCGCAAAAGCCCACCATGACCCTTTCATAAGAAAGAATTATAAGAGAAACCAGAATTGTATTGCTTCTGGACCTTTCAACAACCATAGGTACATAAGAAAATAAAGGATTTGCTAAGATATTGTTAGATCCATTTTCCCCTGCTCTACACTCACACTCATCCCAGTGTTTGGGGACAGTACCTTGTATTACAAACAGAAAATCAGAGAACACTGATACATTTCTCCCACTGGAGTAGTTAAAAATTAGTAGATGGCTTTCTGTCTATAGTATTTTTTATCTAGAACCTGCTATTGGCAAAATATGAAGAAAAGATTTTATTTTGTGTCCCAAGTTATGTAATCCATGTTGTACCTGGTTCTATCAAGTCATTCAGGGAACATTATTCAATAAAATAATTCATACTAGGTATCAGATATTCACATAGACAATGCAGAGAAGTACTTAAATTTTAAAAATTAAAATGCTTAATGACAAAACAAAACTTTCTCTAGGACATTATTCCAAGATAAGCCAGTGAGAAAGATATTTGGGGTTCAAGTCACCTTTTGATGCCTCTATCACACCATGTTTGTGACCATCCTCTTCATCTGCTTATATAGCCAGGTTCACAGTGCATCTAAATCTATAATCTTATAATTAATAGAAGGAAGCACCTCACTTTCTAGAATCAACTAGAAAATAAAACAAAGCAAGAAATACAATTTAGGGAAACATTTGCTGTTATATGTACAGCCCTACTTGAGCTCTGCTATAATGAAAATTTTCCAATCTTTTTTTGATACATCAAAGATTATAAATTTTCATAAGAAAACATCATTTGGATGCTCTTTTCAGTTACCTAAAATGTCTAATTAATAGAGGTCAAGTCTCATTAAAATTATGAATCTAATTTTAAACATATTCTTAGGAAAACTGGAAAAGTCTGAGAAAGAGAAACCAAAGTTATTTTTCAAAATTAAATAAAGGTTTGTAGAAACCAGAAAACAATGGAAACACATAATCTAACTCACTGTTATAATTTAGTCTCACAATATGACTGAGAAACAATGTGATTATTTCCTAATGGCATAGTATACCAAGGGTGTATGGTACACTTGTTATTTCGACCAAACATATGTTGAGAAAGAAAAGATTGTATTAAAACAGATAATATTAAAATTAAATAAGATTAAATAAGAAGAATATGTAAAATATAGTATAACCTAAATTACTACAAACCATTTATAAGACTGAGTTTATGACCTACTTGTTCAAAGATTTAATATTAGGGAATTTCAGTACTATAAATACTTTGGACAGTTCCTAGGTGATTACTCTGATAAGATTTTTATTAATTATGGTATCAAAATCTTTACAATTACATAAGACAAAAATAGGCAGCCCTGAATGTTCATTATTTGAGTTTTAATCAAGGTAAAGGCTGGATTCTGATTATTCCTGGAACTTTTTTAATGACAATAAATTGGCAATCTTTAGACAATATAAAATGTAATACTAAACAATATAGAAAGCTTTCCTTTAGGTTTAACAACATTTCCACGTTTGGTAGAGTCATCTCCCAGTTTGTGTGTTTCTGAAATCTGATCACAGTAAGAAACTAGACCTGGGACTGTTCTGTAAAGAATGAAAAGAACACTATACCCATCAACATGAAAAAATGTCTACACTCCAAAACTACCCCCAATCACAGAATAATTTCCCTTGTCAAAGCCCTGCAGGGCTTAGAAAGCCACATTCAAAAATACTCCATTGTCCCGTTATCAGTAAGATCAAGCCCTACCAAGCACTTCATGTTTCATATCCTAAGAATAAACTAAGAATGTAGAAAAATTAATAAAAGTATTTTTAAGTACGCAAATGAGCCAAAGAAATTGAAAATGCTTAATGCAAAATGAAAGTCTTTATGGAAGGGCCCTGCTTGCAGGGAAGAGGACAAACTTAAGCTCCTTAAATAATCACAGGCTATTTGTATACAGCTGAACAGCTAGTCTCTTGTCTTCTAAACAGGGAACCAGAGATGTTTATGAGAAAAATATGAAGCAAAGGAGGAAAGTTTTTCTCCAGGAACTTGGGCATGTGTGTGTTTTTAAGCATATAGCATACTATATTTTGCTATTATGTTTGTCTGCATTTATTTGGTCTGTGTGGAACTAAAAGCATTATTAGAGGAAAAAATCTGACCATCTCAACAACAGAAAATGATTTGCTAGCTGTAGTTTCAATTCCACATTAATTTATTTTAGAGGTATTTGATACATTTTTACATTTTTTCTGAAAACAAAGAAGTGGATACCATTAGTTGAGCATGGTACCTACAGGGGAATTCTCTATTGAGAAAGGAACAATCTTTCTGCTCTAAACCTTCTTTGGCCTTGTTTGAAACACTGCATTCTATATTGCACCTGTGAAAAGTAAAGAAGATTTTAGCAAAAAGAAACTTTGGAATTGTAACTGAAGGTCCTATCTTATCCAAATCTTCTAAGATACCACTAGCCTTAGAATTCTTGATGCTATAGGAATGCCATTGTTCTGTGAATGTTTCTAAGAGTCAGCTTAAAATAATGAAACTCAAATGATCTCTTAAATTTAAAAATAATCAATACCAGGGTATATAGAGAAAAAGAGGACAACAGTAAACATAAAAATAGCATCACAGCCAGAGGAGCAAGGAGAGAAGGGGAGCTTTGAATAGAATAAACATAAACATATCAGAATAGAGATCCAAGATGGCTGATGGCTAGCAGCTCGGGATTGTAGCTCCCAGTGAAAGCGCAGAGAACAAGAGGACGCCACACTTTCAGATAAATTTTTGTTGCTCACGCACCAGGAGATTCCCAGTGGAGGAGCCCCACGGGTCGCCAGTGCAACTCTGGTGGCCAGCGCGGCAGTTATTGGTGCAGAATAAACGGGACTGGTTCCCCTTTTGGCCAATGTTTGGAGCTCCGGGCCAGACTGGAGATTCCTGGGCAGAAAAGCACCATCAATCTTAACACCGCTGTTTTAGCTGGCACAGTGGGTTGCTCAGATTCTGGAGCTGGGAATCAATAAATGGGACGTCCACTCAGAAACCTAATTAAAAACTCAGTGATTACAAAGATGACAGATGGATAAATGTATAATGAAGGGAAGAAACCAGCCTAAAAAGGCTGAGAATACTCAAAATCAGAACGCCTCTCCCTCTACAGGGTATCACAGTTCCTCATCAGCAATGGAACAAGGCCTGATGGAGAAAGACTGTGTTCCATTAACAGAAGTAGGCTTCAGAAGGTGGATGATAAGAAACTTCTGGGAGTTGAAGGAACTTGTTCTAACCCAATGCAAAGAAACTAAGAACTTTGAAAGAAGGTTTGATGAAATGCTAACAAGAATGGGTAATATAGAGAGGAATAAAAGTGAATTAACAGAGTTGAAAAATACAACACGAGAACTTCATAAAGTATGCAGTAGTTTTAACAGCCGAATTGATCAAGCAGAAGAAAGGATATCAGAGGTCGAAGACCAACTTAATGAAATAAAATGAGAAGACAAGAATAGAGTAAAAAGGATAAAAAGGAATGAGCAAAGTATCCAAGAAATATGGGACTATGTGAAAAGACCTAATCTATGTTTGATAGGTGTACCTGAATGCAACAAAGAGAATGAATCCAAGCTGGAAAATGCTCTTCAGGATATTATCCAGAAAAACTTTCCCAACCTAGCAAGGCAGGACAATATTCAATTCCAGGTAATACAGAGAACACCACAAAGATATTCCTCAAGAAGAGCAACCCAAAGGCACATAATCGTCAGATTCACCAGGGTTGAAATGAAACAGAAAATGCTAAGGGCAGCCAGGGAGAAAGGTCGGGTTACCCACAAAGGGAAGCCTATCAGACTTACAGCAGATCTCTCAACAGAAACCCTACAAGCCAGAAGAGAGTGGGGGCCAATACTCAACATCCTTAAAGAAAAGAACTTTCAACCCAGAATCTCATATCCAGCCAAACTAAGCTTCACAAGTGAAGGAAAAATAAAATCTTTTGTGAACAAGCAAGTACTCAGAGATTTCATCATCACCAGGCCTACTTTACAAGAGCTCCTGAAAGAAGCATTACACATAGAAAGGAACAATCAGTATTAGCCTTTCCAAAAATATACCAAAAAGTAAAGAGCATCAACATAACAAAGAATTTACATCAACTAATGGGCAAAACAGCCAGCTAACATCAAATGGCAGTAATCCTAAATTTAAATCGACTAAATCCCCCAATCAAAAGACACAGCCAAAACCCATCGATATGCCACATCCAGACCCATTTCACATGCAAGGATACACAAAGACTCAAAACAAAGGGATGGAGAAAGATTTACCAACCAAATGGAGAGCAAAAATAAATGAATAAATAAAGAGCAGGAGTGGCAATGCTCACCTCTGATAAAATAGATTTTAAAGCAATAAAGATTAAAAGAGGCAAAGAAGGTCATTACATAATGGTAAAAGGATCAATGCAAGAAGAAGAGCTAATGATCATAAATATATATGCACCCAATACAGG